TATTTAGTATTAGTAAAGAGCATTTGTCATTTTGCTGAATACACAGTACGAATGTCCAAAAAGAAAACAGTGGTAGCACTTACTTGCTGCACAGGACAATATTACAAAGCTACAAACAATTGTCATGTCTCAAGTTAGAACTGCTTTACACCTCCAATATACACGATACACGCACATAAACTTGTCGAACAAATTATATAAACACTCAGATCTTCACAGTCATTGAAATAAAAAAAGTTTTAATCGAACACAGATACATCAAAACCTTCTAGAAGATTCCATTTCACGTCCCATCAAACTTAAATCGACTTGATCCAATCTGGCGGCTTTCCAAGAACTTGATTTGGCTGATTTTAGTAACAAACCAAGGGCCAAAGAGCCCGTTGCTCTCACAATAGCATCCGTCGAACGGCTAGTCTTTCCAATCAACATTCCAAACACCTAAAAGCGAGCGTGAGCCCGGAAAAGTTAAGTAACGAGAAAATCTTCAGGCATTTGAAAATAACGAATGAGAGAGTTTTAGACATTTAGTTCAGTAAAAGGCAACCTGGCTGAGGTAAAGGGCGGAAATATGTTGATCGCTTGAGAAAGAAATTATACTGCTGCACAAGTAGATGGCGTTTGCTTGAATTACCGGCCAAGGAGCCTCGAAAGCCTGCAAAGATACATAGTTAATAACGGATCTCTACTATATATTCTACAATTATTATATTATATTATATTATCACTCAATTTGCATTGTATATATTTTACAGAAGATCATTGATTAAAGAAAAACCCACACAAATAAATACAAGATGTGGTTCAAATGAGAAAGTCCTAGCGTGAGAACCACAATTTTTAATTGTACGTAATGCTATGATTAATTGTGTTTTGGTGCTATTTTTAACCACGATGTATTTTCTTAAAAATTGCAGCACAATTTATATTAGCATTTGCGAAAATAATAGTACCATGTAATATTACAAATAGCATCATACATAATTTAAAAATATTCTCACAGTTCTCACACCAGGACTAGTTTTTATTTGAACCAACCCCCTATACGCTGATTAAAGTAAAGAAGAATAAAGAAATCGATGAGAAGGAAAAATTCCTCATTATTGACCTGGATAATAGATGCCAAGTATGTAGTAATCCTGGATGACATATGCAGAGTAATTTGCCTTGCAATATCTCTCAGAAAGTCCTCATAATCGCCTCTGATGCAAAATATTAAGAGAAGCATAGTCAAAATTAAAACGAGAAACTAACATACACAATTAAAACCTCTAGTACGGATCGATCAACACATACCTATGATCAGAAACAAATCGATGTGTACTGGCAAGAGCAACCATACCATCAAACTCAACCAATGGAGCAATGCATTTAAAAGTGCTCTGAGAGGAAAAGTGGTCGACAAATTAGTAAAAACTAGATTAGATCAATTTTTATTTTTTTCCTGCGGAAAATATACACTCAAGTCAAGAAGTAGAAAGAAAATTATCTACCTGGCAAGCCCGTCTCACACCAAGATCATCATCGTGGAGATGTAACACCAAGCGTGGAAAAGCAACATGAACCTAAAGAACCGAAAAATCATTTTGAAGAATTTACAAAAATTGGAACCAGGAAATGGATATTAAATATAGTTAAAATGTAGTAATCATACGAGACCAAAATTGAGCCCTATCTTGCTAACAAGTCAGTATTCAAGAATGGAGCATACGCAAGAACTTCAAGAATTTATAAGTCAGGTCCAGAGTGATTAACAGACCTGCTCAAGAAACGCGTCACGTTGTAGCCCAAACCCGTAGTTGCTTAAGGCTCCAAATCCTGCAAATGCATTGGCCCGGATTTTTCCATTCATGCATATCTGTTAAACAGAGGAGAGAAATTTGGTTAATTCACTACCATCCAAGAACTACTGTACGGGAAAAGGAAACCTAATTACCAAACTTTCAATGTTCCAAACCTAATCAAAATGTATCTCTTAAAATATAATCATATTTTAAATGCAAAATAATATATATTTAACTGCTGTCCAAGCTAGCAACTAAAATACTTAGTTCAATTGAACAAGCAATTAAAAAGATATCGAGCAGTCAAGCACAACCACCTTCTTGGGGGCAACAATAACTTCCCACCAACTCCTGAACTGAAAACTTACTTGAAGATTACGAAGCCGAACTGAAAGACTAAGCAGAACGGGCTCCACTGCAGCAGCAGAAGAAGATCCAAGAACCTATAAAAGCGAATATTAGACAAGTAAGATTATGTATACAGCAAACTAACATATTTTCTTTTTCCTTCACGTTTCTTTTGTCAAATGTTGTAAAGAGCATCATGAACAATCACCGTCAGCAAACAAGAGACAGCAGTAAGCTGGACTGATTCATCAGGATCATCAAGCAAAGCAACTATAACGCTGAGAATTTGCGTATTAAACTGGACAACATGGACTAGTGGCATCTGCAAGACATCCCAAAGAATCACCCATGTATCACAAAATGGTTGAAACAAAGTGCAAAAGTTGATCAAATTTCCGAGAAGCTAAATGATATTGAATGCTCTAGGTGCATCTCAAACATTTGAAGAAATTAGAGAAAGGAGATCATTCATGAAAAGTGGCTTGCATTCGGCATGTGCATCTTACATATGTATATTAGTATACATACATTATGTGCATCTCAACTATTCAGTTCTTTTCTTTTCTTTTCTTTTTCAACTTTTTAGGGGTTTTGTTTAAGGATTTAAGTTGTTTTATTCTACAACTTATGATTTTTGGGGTATTTTATATTTTTAGTTTTTTAAGGTTCATGGTTCAGCTTTTAAGGGTTCTTTTTAAGGTTTTCATTTTTTGGAGTTTTCTATTTTTTCATTCTTTATTAACTTTTAGCTTCACGATTTAGTTTAGAGATGGTGTGACATAAGTGTGACTGAGATAAATACATGTGATGGGGACACCGCATCTAATTTGAGAAACACAGAATTCCAGTTTACTATAGGAATTCATAGTGCCGCAAAATAGAATGTGTTGGTGGCAGTAACTACCTGCACAAGTCCTCTTAAACAAAGGCGCCTAACATTTGGAGAATCATCGGAAACATGTCGAGTCAGTCCTTCAACCATCTGCTCCAACAAGGAACCAAAACTATCACTGCACAATGATAAAACTTGACATCAGATTTGGAATTACAGAAATAACACAAGGTAACACAAGTAACTCCATTTTTAGGAAAAGCTGAAACTATAACAGAAAGTTAAACATAAAGATCTCTGGATCAGACTGGGAAAGAAACAGAAGAACTACAAGTGAAATAACACATTGACACTGCGCTAAAAAATATGGACTAATTAGTGCACGTGTGCACATCCAAGGTGTGTAATCTTAATTTCTGGTATCTGGTCAAAGGCATATGAGATCTGGAGAAGGGATAAGTTATTTAAATAGGATCTAGCAAAAAAGAAAAAAAGAAAAAAAGAAACTATAGTGGAATATTATTATGAATTTTTCAGTGGTGACTACACCTTCCTTATAGATTTCTTGGAAGCCATCAAATGTTCCATTCCAACATTAATGGCCAAACACTAGTACAACGTTCAACCAAACAATTTCTATACCGTGTCTATAAAACCATTTTCAAGTATGTAATAAATCAGGCAGCACCATGGCACCAAGATTTATTTCGACGTCAATAGAAGTGATTTTGGCAAGGCAAAGAAAACCATCAGTATGAGGAAGAGAAATGCCATCCAAAAGGAAATGGAACAAAATAAAGAATTCCACCATAAAGGTATTTAAGTGAGGAAGCATAACACACACGTATACACACACAAACTTTGGGTGCTGATGTGCATTAAAAACTAAAATAGCATGTAAGCATAATTCAGCGAGTTAGAAAGAGAGAGTGGGGGAGGGGAGGGGGGTGGCGAGAGAGATAGAGAGAGACCTAAAGCGCACGAACTCGGAGAGTGCAGCTGCTGCAGCTTCCCTCAAGTATCTTAGGGATTTATCCAGTGACTTACAAAGAATCAAACAAATCGTAGATACCTGAGTAGTTACACATAGGTGTGGTAAGAAGCAATAAAATACACGGCAAACATTGAGAAAGATCAAGATTGGTTTTATGTTATCAAGGTTAACAACTCAAAACGAGAGTCGCATTACAAAGACCCAATAATACCATAGTTAAGAACTACAAGATGGTCGATATAAAACGAGTATAGCTTAAATGGAATACTGGATTGTGATCAGAATAAACACCTCTTTTGGCCTTTTAATGGAAATGCAACCAGCCAGATCCCCAATCAGACCAATCCAAGTGTCCTCCTCACTTTGTTCTCTGTCTCTTGCCAGAATCTGTGAACAATTAGCTTTTATGCCAAAATCAAATTGCTTATAGTTGTTAAGTAGCGGTAACCAGACTATTATGTACCTTCCCCATTTCCAGATCACCGACACATTCACAGAATGCATTAAATGCAACCAGTTGTGCGCTGAAAACCGAACGTAACAGATTAAGCACAATTCGGAAGATGGTACTAGATACTTGCTGTGATGCTGGAATGTATTTTAGAAATATGCAAGTGTTACCGCAATGGTTCATGCCGGCCAGAACTAGATAAACTATGACAACTTGCCAAGTGAAGCACAAGAGTTGCAAGGACAGAACCATATTTTTGCTCCACGGCTTTTTTTCCAACTTTACCTCCACCTCTGTGACATGAATTTAGGGTTCGCTAATAAGAAGGAGATCATTATAGCCACACAAGACAAACTGAAATTCGGTTTAAGGTTTTACTCTAGTTACCAAAAAGAAAGGAACCGGGAAAGCACTCCATCAAAAGATTACAAACAATGATGATAATAATAGATATGGTGTGCAGCTAGTAAAATTATAATTGTATTAGGTTTTAAATTTTTTCTTCAAATTTGGTCAAACCTCGATGTTATTTTTTGTAGAAATTACCAACAAGTAATTAATGTTAATCAACCTGAAGAAGGCAGTAAGAGCTATGACAGCAGCATGATATAGATTATCCTCTACAATGCTTTCACCAAAATTGCTGACATTCTCTCCCTTCCAAGAATCACCTTGAACGATAGGAGTCTGATTGAGGATAGAGGTTACATGCTCCAGAAACGAATAGGAAAGAACTGCATGCTGGGAAAATGCCTAAGAATCCAAAGCAACAAAATAACATTAGGCACGATGTTATGGAAATTGCTGTAGCACCAAAACATTGATTTCTGAAACACACACACATGGCACAGAGGTTCGACAAGCAATTCAGCATGCAACAGGAAGACGGAGAAGCATAAATAGACAGCCATATGTGCCTTTTCAATGGAGCTGGTTCTACACTCTACACTAAGTAGTCGGCCTGTCTGCTTTTGGAAGATCAATCAACTACGTGTCTCATTTTCCCTTGGATAAAATCAGCCAACTATAGGTTCAAAACGCCATTGAGCTTCTCAAAAGTTCTAATTGACACTGGTAAAAGATGCTTATCTAACAAGAAATGACACTTCTTCAACTTGAAAACAACAAATGATAAGCAGATAAAAGGTGACAGGTAAACTAGCAAATGAAACAACAGTATCACACATAGACGATTTTTTAGTTATTTATTTTAAGAGCAAAGCAAAAAGTGGGAAATGGAGAAAATAAAGGACTCAACAAAGAAAAGGTTAAAAATGAAACGATAGTTCAAGAATATTGAATGAAGAATTAAACTTCATATTAAAAAAATAGGTTAAAAAGATTTGATGAACTGAAAGAATAATGCTGCAAAAAAAGAAATATTGACATTCCCAGAAAACTGGAAAAAATAAATGAACTAGACAGGCACAATGAAGTTAATATTTCCAACAATTATCATGCAATTTGCCAGACTAAGGAAAACATCGTGCCTAAGGGAAAATGTAAACACGACAGGATGCACATCCCAGAATAAGGGTAAGAAATCAACAAACAAAAGCAAACAATATGATGATGTATGTCCAACATAAGAGGCTCACATGAAATACATCCTGTATTGGCCAGCCGCCACGCAATCTAGACACATCTTTCGTGGCTATATCTCTCTCAGCAGCAGCCAACACTTCATCGAAAACGATTCTTGAGCTGGTACTCTCAGCAAGAGAAGAGATCTTTAAACAGTTGAGGAAACTTTCCTGGATCCTACAGTTAACTTCCAGCTTTCAAAAGCCAATATGAGAAGGTAACAGGCAACAAAAACTCTTTTGCCAACATTAGCCGGTAAAGATGAAAAATAAATAAGGATACAGCTCCAAATGTTTCTTGACGTAGGTACTTCTCAGTAACATGAATGGCAGCCGAAAGCAAAGATTGGGTCGTCCTGGTACCATATCCATAAGGACTCAGTCAACAAAAATGCGAAAAAATTAAGTTCCTAGCACAAATTAACACAAGTCACAATTCTTCACTCCACCTAGCGATTTCGGCCTCATTTAGCTCCCTACCCCTCTCTGTAATGAACTCAATCACAGCTTGAATAGCACCTTCAGCAGACTGTTTGACCCTGTCACATATAGCTGCTGAGCAAGCGTGTAAAGCAGCTACCAGCTGTGAAAAGTGAATATAGAAAGGCAATTAGGTACAGTAGTCATCAATAGAATTTTACTGTCTCAAAAGGTAAAAGATGCAAACAAAAACTTAAAACATTCAAACTACTACCTCGTCCTTAGTGAATAATATGCTTACAGAGGAAACAACCCTGTTAAAGACCTCAGACGGATCAAGGGATGCATCCTACAAGAGTAGGTAAATATGGGAATTAGTACTTCTTAAATTGAAGAANAAAAAAAAAAAAAAAAAAAAGGAAACAGAAGCATTTCTGCTGTATTATGAAGTAACATTAAGCAAAAGAGCACCAAAACAAGAGAGTTGTTTTGTCACTTACACTCCTCAAGATGGCAATAACATCCTCAAGAGCTGACAGAGCACTGTAGCACAGTTCAATATCAAGTCCAGGTGTAGATTTCGGTAACGAAAGAGATATACTGAAAAATAAATCAAGGATCTGCAGATAGAGGATAATCTCAAATCAAGCCGGATCCAAAGTATAACTGAAGATTCAATGACTGACCAAGAACAATGATTCAGTCAACCATAGACATGTTGATTTGTACATATTCTATATAGTAATGAAATAAATAGAACAAGGTACGCATTCAACATTTGGTCAATCACATACCTGAGCAGAGGTTTTTCTAACTTCAGGATTTGTATCTGCACAGCGTGGGAGATACACCATTATCCTCTCCCCCAAACACAAAGCATCACGACTTGGTGATACAAATGCAGCTGGCAATTATCGAAATAGCATAACATTAATATAAGTAACCAAAGATATATTCGAAAGCTCAGAGACAGCAGTAGCGCAAGAGACTAACATGGTAAATTGCTAAAATTGCAAGTCGAAGCACGGTCTATCCTTTTGTTGTGAGTGCAAGTTCCTTGGCAGCCAAGTGAACAGTATCCACTAACACATACAGTCCGAAACTTATGAAGCATCTCATAGGCTGCAAAACAACCTCTTTTTCTCTGATATTCAACAGAGGAGGAAACGTATGGATCAATCTGTCTCAAGATATGCAGCAACTGTTCTGCTCGGCTTCTTCCATCCTCTCCACTGGATTAGATAACACATCAAAATAGGCATAGCATATGCCTTGGAACAAAATAGTATATCCACAATCACATTAATGACTAGTACGTCCAAAAGCCTATCTATGCAGTGTGACTGGGCAAAATAATTCTTGGTAGGGTATGTGACACAAATGTTGAAGAGAAGAAATTATCTATTTCTATAAAAGTCATTTGCATATAGAAAACTTCAAGTTTCACTCTTAGATACTGAGGGGAACTAAGTTAAATCTAAATAACACACACATAGGAAAGTTTATAACTTTACATACACCGCAAGATCAGAATTCCCCAACCTCATATACAAATACTTTGAAACACTATATTTAATTCTTACAAAGACTTCAAGCACTCAGAATAATTGCACAAAGAAAAATTATTACAAGTTCTATCTACTAAGCAAAGAAGAGAGATACAAGGAAGACGACAAGAGGGGTTCAAGGCATATGCAACTCATAATATTGGATCACCAGCCTCTTTACAATTCCCCCATAGGTATAAAAAACTATGGTACAGCAACAAAGAAGCATGTCTACCTTTCAGCAAATATAAACAGCAGAAAAATAATCCCTGCCTAAAGACATATGAATCACTTTCCACTAAGCTAAAACAGTTGTGGCAAAAACTATACGAATACCTTTTAACAAGGTTTTTTACTCATAAAATCTATAAAACTTAAACACTTCCAGTCAATATTGATTTGCTTGACAAGATGCTTCAACTGGGTTACAGATAAACCGCACAGAAAGCTCAGAAAGGTCTGAAATTATAATTTTAACATGTCTTCTTTCGTATTTTCATTTAGCAGTCTAAAATATTTATCTCGGAGAAGAAAAGTGAATCTGAATTCTCAGAGTTACTATGATCTCCAATTGAATACCCAGTTGTTTAGGAAGTCTGAAAGCTCCATTTCTCCTAGAAAAAGCCCATGATTAGCACATACGTATACATATCTTTGTAGTACTTCCATTAGTGAGAAAAGACTACAAACTCCTTTGTTGGCTTCTTGATACAGTCTAATAAGTGAGTCCACCTAACTAAGAAACAGGTCAGCATCCCCTGCATTCAAAAACTTCAATCCAAGGACTCTAGCATTTCATAATAATTGTCTCCCTCGCTTTGCTTGTGTATTAGTCTTACCAGCATATAGTTACTGGACGGCAAATGGTGTGAAACCACCCAAAAATGCACGCAGATCTTCTAATTCATGCAAAAGCCATACAAAGNGCGAAAAGCCATACAAAGTAAAAAAATAAATCAGTTAAGTTTTAAGAGAATAAATACCTTGTAACAAGGATTGCACAGAGAAGAGTAATAAGGTTGTGTATGAGACCATCGATAACATCAGGCGGTTCATTTGGTAAACCAAAGAACCCTAAAGTAGCCTGTCAAATGTGCCATCAGCAGAAGCACCAAATATTTGTTATCTCAAACAATTTATGGTTTTGAGTAGCATCTTTCACCTTCAATACAAGGTTCCTCGTTTCAATGGTCAATTTTGGCTCCACAGATACCAAAGTAGTACAAGCACTTAAAGCAAGGGACTGCATAAAATCATATCCCCATTCAGGAAATAGAAACCAAAAGCAGGAAAAATAAGGTGATCACCAGAATAAAAAACCCTGCAAACTATGTAGCCGGCAACGCATACACAAGATACACATATCACAATGTCAGGCTAGTAAACTAAATAATTTCTCAACCATGAATGTGAAGAATATGTATTAGAGCCAAAGACAGCTTCAGTCATATATCGCTTCAATCTTGAGCACACATGAATAGCTTCTCATGAAAGTATAATTTCCAAAATGTTGAGGATCACCAATAACAATATAATGGCTCATAAGAGCTTAGAGAATAACCCAAGGCCAACAAAATTTAGAATGAGATATTTGAGTATGAATAACTCAAGGCAACATATTATAATGGATCTATCAGCACAGTGAGTGTTCCAAAGTGCACATGTAAACTTGTAGTGGTTGAAAAATAACTTGGCATATTTTTTCTTTACTTGAAAATGACTTCCAGAATCACTAGTAACTTAAATTCCAAAGCTTGTCCACTAATGATGAACTTAACAAGTATTTACATCAGCCTAGCTTCATTACTTATTTAATGGATTCAGGCATCTTTATGGTACCAGGACGTTACGATTATTTCATACGGAACATACCTGAGTGTGCAGGAGCTCCAGGTTAGAATCAGAGAACCCATCTTCATCATCTCTACCCATTAAAGTCAATATGTAGTCAAGAAGTACATCTCTCCTTTTCAACGGAAATGATGTGCCACTTTCAGCAGCGCCAATGACAGCTTGACCTGAATTAGCAATGTCGTTTCATTCCCTCATAGATTAACTGAAATGTAATATGAATTAATGTATGTATCGTACATCACATGTTTTATGGATAGAAGACACCCTAATTTTTTGATGCATTAAGGGGGCGATTGGATATAAATAAAACAGGTTTTGATTGGATGTATTGGTTAAAGTGAGGTATTTTGAATACAGTTGATTGAGTGGAGGATTGAGTGGGATTTTGAGTTCGTGTTTAAATAATATTTAAAATGTAATGATGAGAGTTGATGTGATGTAAACGTAGGAGATATGTTATTGGAAATGATAGGTAGTTAAAAATATGTGAGTGGATGAATAGTGAACTAAAGTTGAGTTGATGTGATGTCTGATGATGATTGATTAATATTATTTAATTATATTGATAACATTGAGGAGAGTTGAGTTGGATTTAAAATTGAATTGGATTTTAGTTAAAAGATGTAAAGAAATTATCTGGGCAGTCATAACCGGTTTTAATTTGTAGCCAATCACCCCCTAAATATACCTACATCAAAAGGTTAAAATCAAAAAACAATGCTGCATTCTGCTACATCATTGGGGACCGCTTAAATCTATTGTGTTGTTTCCCCACCAACCCTTATTAAGTTACATGCAGTTACCAATAGAGATGTTAAATGATCTTTGGCCCGACGGGCCGGCCCGTTTAGCCCGGAAAAAAAAGAGGGTTAGGTCCTTTTATTAGTAGCCCGTTTACATCAGGGCTTTTTAGGCCCGGACCGTTTAGCCCGAAGCCCGCTAGGGCTAGCCCGAAACCCGTTAGGGCTGGCCCGTTTAACTAGGGTTGGGCAGTGAAATGTTTGCATCAAGTAAGTAATATGCTCTTAGATTTCTTGTATATTACAATTTTGATATTCCACTTCACATGTAAGTACGATTTGTAATGCATTATTATGATTTTGAAAGATAATTATTAACAATATTGTTATTGTACTTTATACCAAAATATTTAAGCCAATCAGAACGACTAATAAGAAAGACATGAAACATAGTGATAGACGGTAATTACTAAATAGCCGTTGAAAACAATTTTTAACTAGCCGTTGTTATTTTTTTTATAATTTTTACTCTTTTTATTTTTTATTTTTTATATATTATTATTATTATTATTATTATTATTATTATTATTATTATTATTGTTATTATTATTATAGCCATAGCCCGCATAGCCCGTTTAGCTCGAAGCCCGCTAGGGTTAGGGTTAGGTCCTTTTTTTGGTAGCCCGTTTGAATCCGGGCTTTTTAGGCCCGGACCTTTTAACCCGAAGCCCGCTAGAGCTAGCCCGAAACCTCTAGGGCTAGCCCGTTTAACATCTCTAGTTACCAATATGAACGAAATACGGAAATAGAAATAAGAAAGAAAGAATAAAGTCTATTATGCAAAACATTAAAAAAAGGCATTTGAGAAACCAAGTTACAGAAAAAGGAAATTATTTTGATGCACAAGATAACTATAGCGAGCGCATTATGAACAAAGTAAACTTATAAACCTAGTAAATCAATGGCCGTGATGACTGCCTGCTTTGCTGTAGGATGCCGTACATTAAGAAGATGTGAAAGCATATTGGTACCCTGTCCGAAAATGCATAAAATATATAAACTAGCAATATAGTAGAATAGAGGCCAGAAGTCAGAACATAAGGAGACTGGTGATACCAACAAATTGAGCAAATATGTCGGGCCTGAACGCTAAAGAAGAAACTAAGATTAGACCTGTCATAGTTCAGGGGAATAAATTACTGTCTCTTTTCCATCCAAGGATAAATACTTTGCTTGAAACACTGGCTACATCACTTAGACCCCAAAACATATATGCAAATTGATAGGCCACCTCAGAGAATAAATCTGCTATTAATTTATAAGGGCTGATGAGGAAAGTATCATCTTTTCCAACCCCGTGCCTCTTGAATTGAAACAAACTTAGACAGCTATATGTTAGACACTAAGAAGCTCCATGACTCTTACAATTATTATAGTTATCAAACATATATTATCGGACAGCCACAATTTATAGACAGCGTGTGAGAAATGATTGGGAGAAAATCAACTATGTACCGAAGGATCGTAGGGCTATTTAAATATAGTCCGGAAGATTTTTTAATTGCACTATCAAGACTAAACCACATCAACATATATAAAAAAAATGCATATACAGTCACCCAGGCATATAATTTCACAACAATCACAAACAGGCAGGTATAGCAAATCAATGAATAAACAATAACACCTACCACAAGTGCATCTATTCTGGCTTCAATAACTGTTGATGGGGCATATTTTGCAGCATACCCATACATAAGTGCCAAAGCGGCATGAACATCATCTGATTCTTCCATTTTGCCTCTATCAGAAAAGAATGACAAAATCCTGCAATGTTCATTAAGCGTCAGATAAGAGCATTGGTATATAGTAGCATACTAGTACAACACCTGTGTATTACACGGGTGCTTGTTAAAAAAACTATTCTTAAATTTTAAAATTAATGAGAAAAACTGTTTTAAAATTTAAATAGTTATTACAATAAATATATATTATCATATATTTTAGAATGACATGTGTTCTTGTGCGACTTATAAGTGGTGTTATATTATTATAATTTTTCTAACTTATACCATACAACCAACTTTAAACATAAATATATTAATTGATAACTAATTGTATTTTTATAATATTAATAAATATTTTTTTATTATTACAAAAATAAATATGATTTATTTATTTTATACATGCAACATGGATGTCAAATCGAAACTTATCAAGAGATGATTAATTTGATATATATTATATGTAAAACCGATAAGAAATACAAAAGTTATCAACTTTTAAAATACATTTATAATTCAATAGTTATAATCAGAATTGATAATAAAATGCAATTAATACTTCTAAAATAACAATAAATAATCAACATCTTCATGGATAATCCGAATATGATTATTTTTGGATTGGAAGTAAATTAAAATCTATTCAAGCCAAATAATGAAGCATGAAATTTTGCCACATAGGATCCCGAAGCATGCGAGCCTGCCACTGCACATTCGGAATTATATATAAGGGGGATATTCATGCATAAGACAGCAGATATAACTAAGACATCCTAAGTCAAATCGCCAAAGAGATTAAAAAACTTAATGTAAGACTTCTAGAAATACATCATTGGCCAGGTTTGCTGGCAGCCTAAATAAAAATCTTACACGTCAATAAATAAACCAGATGGCTGTCAGCCACTATCAGGAATACTTATAACTGCATTTAATATGAGATTACGCAGGTGTAACCAGATGTGCAGCATCTAATTCCATAACTTTTTATCAAGATGTAATGCGCTTTGAGAGCATACTAATACATATAACACCGGTGCATACCTTTGGAAGATACCATCACCAATATTATCAAGAATGTCTTTTAGCTTATCCAGAACTGTGTCCAAGTGGGACGCAGCAACCTAGGTGTCAATAAATTAGCAACCCATATGATTAAGTGAATCAGCTCAAAAGAAACTCTTTATTAGGTTTGGCTGAACTAAGAATGAATGAATTAAATGGAGAATGATTACCAATCCCATGGCCTTTGCCAAACCAAGCCTATTCACCGGCAAAGCAATGTTAGCTTGCATGTACATTAAATCAATCTTATCCCGAACATAGGTCCTGTCGTGTACTTTCTGCAGCAAAATACCAAGACACCTGCATTAGAGTGAGTGATTCAGCTTGCAGCCACATTGTCCTATGATTTCTCAATGAACATGATTCAAATAATGAGAAAAGGCACGCATGTCAATAGCAAATAAACGTCAGCATGAAGTTGCAAAAGAAGTGAAATAATTGTAAGCTAAACTTGAATAATTAAACTCAAATATTTCCATCTGAAATTTGTTAATTATTATCTTCTTTGCCATCTCAAGTCTATAAAAGCAGCTTTTAACTGTAAAGCCTAGCTCCATCATAGCCAACCTAGCACGAAATAATGCCCAGAAAAAGGGGATAAATAAAGATTGTCTAGACCGTAAAAAGTAGTTGTGATGAAAGACATAGGAATATAGCAAATAGCGAAGTCATGAAGGAACACATTGAAGTTTACAATTTTTTTCAGTGATAACATGGTATGGTGCTTCGATGAATAGAAAAATACAATACTGAATTAACATGGTTGAGATGGGCGTGAATAGAAAAATACAAAACTAAATTAAGCAAAACACAGACATGGTTGGTTGGTTTAACTCAAAGAGATTTACAAGACGATTAATCATACCTGTGAAGCAGTGCAGCATGCTCATCATCAGATGAATAAAGTTCATATTGTTTAGCAAAAGAATTTCCTAGAGAAATCACCCAATCAACATCCTGAATCACATCCAACGATTCTGCAACGAACTGTTGTCCGCAAAGATTATATTAGTGACATGCACCAAGAAAGGTGATTCCTGCCCATTGTCAAACTTGAACCTATGAACTGAAAAAACCAACCCTGCATCTACCCAATATTGTAGTCTTGCTTTCAATGAAATAAATAGCACAGGAACACAAAAGCGGCAATTAGAGAAATTTAATCACTCTTGACATAGAAATTATGAATGCCTGAATGTTAAGAGAAAAGAGAGTGATATCGAAAAAAAAAAAGAGTTCACAGGGACAAACTGTCTAACCCCGTACATGATAGTCTACTAAGGTTATGAAATAAATTATATCGGCAAAGAAACATACAGATTAAGTAGAGCCACCAGAGCTTACATTAATAACCATGTCATCCCAAGTTTCTTGATAAAATGGATCTTGCTTTAGGTCTTCTGGATCACTCACATAGGCCTTCATTTTGGGAATCTAGAGCTTACAAAAGAATACAAACAGTTAGAACAGAACGTTAAAAATGCCCCACATGGTTGCTAGTCATACTACTGTTCAGCTGCATAAAATATTCTTTCATATGAACAAAGTGTGAACACTTTGATGGAACACTGTGTTTTAAGGTCTCGCAAAAATTGCACTGGGACTCCGTGGAATACTCAACCAAAATTTTGGAAGCACAATTCTAAAAGAATGAGGCAATTTTGTAAATTTGGCTTCAAGTTCATGTTTAATGCTTCTAGACCCCCTCATTATCACTTAATTTCACATAGAAAAGATTATTAACCAAATACTAAAAGACAATTACATGCAACATGGACAATAAATCTATATATATATAATTACTAGCTAATAGAATTTAATAAAACCTATTTAATTTTACCTATGTGGCAATTTAATAATTTTCCCTCCAAAAACCGTTACATTTTGATGTATTTAATCTTTCATTTAATCATTAAATAATTAATACTCATCACTTCAAAATTACAAAAATCATTTTAAACTTTTGATTAATGACAGTTGACCATATAATGTGTTGACCGTATAATGTGATTAGATGTTATTATTGTTGTTACATTTAATTTTTTTTTTGAAAATAAAAAATATATTTGAAATTCCTAAATAAATAATAAATAATTCACAAATAAAAGACGTACCAAAATATACATTACATCCAATCAGATCAGATTAACGCAATTTAAAAAAAAAATATTCCAACTCTTTTAATTGTAAATTTGGTCTGCAAAAAAGTGAAAGAAAAATAATTAATCATTATATGTACAGACTCACAATAATTTATTTATATCTGTGCAAATGCACAGGTCGAATACTAGTAGTAAAAAATTACCACATTGCAACTTGAAAAGCATGTTAAAAAAATATTCAATTCTTCAAATTAACAAACAAGAATGTACTACATCATCAAGCTTCTATACCTCATCTTGCCAAAATAAGATGATATTCTTCGGAAATAGAGAGGCCAAGTGAAGCAGGACCTGAAAAATCAGCAAAATCTCTTTAATCAAAATCACATTTACACATGCTGTCCACATGATATATCCTTTTATGCTGATGCTGCCAAGTTCATTGCAGATGAGAAGAAGTTGAAACATTAAAATCCCTAATCACTATTATTCCCACTAAGGACTCAATATGAAGATGTAGAGGCAAATATCAAACTTGCATTTTTTATCAAAACATACTTCATGTTTAACCTCAACCTTTACTCAATTGCAATTATTAAGGCACTACCCAACTAGAAAGGAGATGTTATGGCCTAGTGACAACATAATATACCTTCTAGAGAATTTTTTTAATTGGACAGCGCCTTAATCATGGTAATTGACTAATGGTTGAGGATAAACATTATGTATGTTTTGATAAAAAAATAAATAAATAAATAAATAAATAAATATATAAACATGGGCTAGCCTAGTCATAACATAAAATACTGTCTAGAGAATTTTTTGACAGAAAACCTAAAAAGTTATTCATTAGGACCCTGTCAACAGCACCAGTACAGACTCATGGTACAACTCATTAGCATACAGTGTTCATACCTTCATAAATAGAAGGAGGATGCCAAATGATATTTAAAAAAAATGCACAAGTTTTTTAGGTCAAATTATGCAGACTATGGCATTAAGGTTTATAGATACTGAGGCTCATTTTTCGATCAAATTAACGTCCTACAGTCCTGAAACAACATTATCCCGTTTCCTTCACTTGATATTGACCAAACTATGTACTATGTAAAGCTTGCAATAAGGACACTTACGGATAGAATTTGAGTCACTAGCTGCTCCCTTGCCAATGGATTGTGGAGTAGCACCACAAGACGTGCAAAAAGATCCTGAATTATATTTAATTCCAAAAAAATTAAAAACAAAAGGTGGCCAATACTTCTATAAGAAATGGATGAGTATAGGGATGTGGAGCTGCAACCTCAGGATTTGGAATATCAGCACGTGCTTTACAATCGGAAAGGATCATATCACTTTGAGTGTGTTTATTTCTGCATAATTCTGAGATGCATCTGCACACCTATATAAGAAAATAAATATGTTGACAATAGAAATTCAATCTATATACTTAAGGTACAAATGACAAAGGAGGACCACACTCTAGCACCCAGATAAAATATCAGAGAAACATAAAATCAAACTGGATGAAAAGTATCTCACGCTATAAATGTACATAGAACACTTACCGTTGCTAATGCACCAGTGTAAACCCGTGGTATGATCATTTTCAACAAAAATGGCCAAAGCACATGCTGGGAACATTAATAAAAATAAAAAAATAAAGACATACTAAGATAAAACTAGCAAACTAATTGGGAAAAGGGAAGAAACATGGGAGAGGAAGGGATAGACAGGCTAATATCAGCATACCTCCATCTCAGGAATGGTGACGGTTATCAAAAGAAGACCTTTTTCACACACTTCACGTAGATCTGTTGGACATATACCTCCAACATTTACCTGCAAATGATCAAAAAGTTTTCATGCAAAAAAAGTATTTGTAAAATCCATATAAGGACAACCTGAAATTTACAAATTGAATACTAATGACGTAGTGAGCAAGAGCATTTCTACTCAAATTGATACAAAATAAATCGGCATCACACATTGTCCTTTATTTCTTTCTTTCCTTTGCATTCAGAAGTAAGGCCAAATTCTTCCTTGCCCCTAACTTTATCGTGTATACATTAAAAACAAATCCTTCTGACACGAACCATGTTTCATTAATAGACTGAAACAGATGCAATCTCACAAAAAAATAACAACTCTAATGGATAACATCTTCCAGATAAGCTTCACCAGAAAATTGCAATTATTTATCAGAAATAAGGCACATCCTACTTTTGTAAGTTCTGTTGCAATAAGAGATAGACTTCATTCTTAGTCTTATATAGGCACCACAGAATTTTCTTGTATTTCTCTCTCTTCTAGATAGTTTCATCCTGCATATCTATATATTAACATTGTAAGAAATGGGGGTAAAACGGGTGCGGTCTCACGCACATGAAGCGCACCATAGACTTATAAGCGCACCACAGATGAAGCGCACAAACAGGGAAAGCCCATATGAAGCCCAAGTGGGGTTCCATCCCAAAACCAATTGGTGGAAGGAGGAGTAGCCCGTTAGACTTATAAGGTGGGTCTATTTTCCATGTATAAACGATGTGGGACAACTCACAAGTGATATTCTAACAAACATATAGTTCAGAGACCTCAACTAAGAATATTATTCAGTAAGATGCTAAAGTCGTTTGGGTCATTACTCATTAATGTGCTTTAATATTTTATCATTTCGAACAAAACTTAATGGCTACAGTTTGGAAGAAACTGCATTAGATGCCAGAAAAATAAAATGTTGGATTGATTAACAAGGAAATAACTTTGACTGGTTCAGATATAGTAGTCTTATGATTGAAATATTCATTCCGCGACATGTTATTAGTAGATTCTAACAAGCAAGAAAACACATGAAATCAGAATGCTTCACGTACTGAGCAAAAATTAGACCTCTTGTTTCCTTTGCAGGAATGGATTGAAGGAGCCAGTCAACCGAACAAAATCATTTGAAGTCTCAATATCTGCCCTGTTCACATCTGTCATTGCACAGTGGCGTACCAAGTACTCCACAAATAACTCTCCTGGTGCACCAACCAAGTAACAGTGCGAAGCCATAACAACGATTAACTACGATAATGGAAAGAATAAAAATTAGGATACAATCAGTCATTTGAATATAGCAAAAATGAGTTATTTGTCATTGGTACAATACCTCAGAAAGTGCCTTGCAGACAGCCAAATTACCCTCATCCAACAAGCTTTTTACCGCATCAACTAGCAAAGGCCTTTTAGCATGCCAAACTTCAGACAACCTTCAAAGGCCAGTAAGTTGGGGTTAATTTGGGGGAGTCCGAAAAATTAAAGAAAAGAAAAACAGAAACGAAGCTAACCTAGGTAAAAGATGCTTGAGAACAGAAAGGGCACCAAAAGTCAAAGGTTCTTCTTTCAACCGGCATTTCTGGGACATGCATATCAAGAGTAGCATAGATTAAACAGAAACCCATAATTTGTTCATTTTTCCTCCCTTTTTTTTCGCTTGTTTGTTTTTCTTCCATTACTTGATTTCAGTTTTGAAGGGAAGAAAGAGGGAATCATCAGTGCACCAGATATAGTTACATATCCAGTTAGTAATTCAAAATAATTTGTAAGACAATTTTACCCACATAGAGAAGGAACCCAAACATGTCTTCCGGATAGACTTGGGCCACCGTGAGAAAACAATGTTGAATCTCATTGTAGGTCTGCACATGCATAAGGTGCTAAACTGATTACCAAAGGAGGTAATAAGAAAAACTATCAATGAACAAGAATGAAGACAAGAATGCATTGACCAGAGAGAGAAAATGAGAGAAACTAAACATGGAAATGCATAAATGAACTAATCAAATTAGCCGAGCTTTTCACGTTAAGCTATTATATAGATATGCAAAAGAAGAATATCATTGCAGCATCTCAATGCACTAACTACGAAACCTATACAAAGATTCATCCATTTTATTATTTGACATCGATTGGTCAATCTTTAAAGTGCAAATGTTAACAAAGAGACTGTGATCGATTGTACAATAAAGAGACGCCACAAAGGATACTATTTAGCCAAACAAATGTACTGATTAGAAAGTATTGGTCGAACAACACCACATGTATTCTACCTTCAGTCCAACTGAAAAACCTGAATGTTGTTTACTGTCATTATTGATGCAAACAACCGGAAGAAGTGTCGATAATATGACAGTAAGATCCTGCAAAATTACAACTTTAAAGTCATTACCTCTTAGAGGGAAAAAGTGGACAAGATCCAATAATAATAATGAAGAAAGTGTAAGTTATTAGATCCTAGTGGTAGCCAAACTGACGCTTTTACACATGCACTTTGAACACATATTTGCCTTGGCAGCCTTCCATCATGTAATCCAACAGGTAATTTTATATCATGACAATGAGAAGTAAATTAATACAAAAACCCTCAATTCCTTTTAATTTGGACTGATACCAATTACATTGTGGTGGCATTTTCACATTGATATGAAGTTAGAAATAATTCAAGAATAAAATTCATTGTTCCTTTTTGTTTGCATTAAGAAAAAATCATTTTCAGGTTTCCAACATATGAGCTTTGAAGTTTCCATTGCATGATGCTTTGAATCTGGTTGAAATATAATCTCTTCCCACTTATATCAAATGTCAAATCTTAGCTACATATTGTCCATTATCCTCACTGTGAGCTTACGGAAAATATGAAAACCACAAAGGCCAAGAAAAAACGTTGTACATCATTTGATAAGAGAGATATGCTAAGGAATGAATGGACCTTTTACAGGACATAGGAATGTCGACATAGGAATGTAAAGTACTTTTTATAAGCACAACTAACTACAGATAACCTTCAAATAAAATGGCGACCATACGTATCAGAAAATGGAAAAAAGAGAAACCACAAATTTCTACTATACTTTCTAAATAAAACAAGTTGAAAAAAAAAAAATAGTTCAACCCACGCAATGGAAAAATCATAGTTATATTCACTTACTTCAAAGTCAAGTAAAGGTGGACCGCTTTCGGAAAGTAAGGAAGCATTCAAAAGATAGTGGAGACTGCATGTAGCCACAAAGGCAACATCGTGATCTTTCTTATACCTGCATCATTAAAAAAATATACAGATTACTTAAAAGATATAGCTGAGCTCTCACAATCATAAAATAAATTGTACCTAAACATCATAAAATAGTTGGCCAGCCTAGCCATGATAAAAATTAGTCTAACTACCAAGCAACTTAGCCACATATCATTAGGGCACTGTTGAGGATAATTACTTTAAGGGGGCGATTGGATATAAATCAAAACCAGTTTTGATTGGACTTTGAATTAAATTTAAATAAAGTTGATTGAATGGAGGATTGAGCAGTATTTTGAGTTTGTATTTATATAATATTTAAAATATAGTGATTAAAGTTGATGTGATGTAAAAGTAGAAGAGAGGTATAGGTAATTAAAAATATGTGAGTAGATAAATACTGAATTAAAGTTGATGTGATGTGTGAGGATGATTTATTGATATTATTTAATTATATTGATAATATTGAGGAGTAGTGAGTTGGATTTTGAGTTAACGAGTAAAACAATTATCCAATCAGTCAAAACCGGTTTTAATATGTAGCCAATCGCCCCTAACAAATCAAGCTAACTCTTACAATTCCAATATAGTGGGCACAAGCCTTGGTAAAGCTGATTTCAGTTGGGTCCTGGTAACAAGGCCAACCATCTGGCCTAATGCCTCAATAGTCGATATGCGGACCTGCAGAAATGAAAAAATAAAATGCCACCTTAGAATTTCAGGGTGCAACATGTCAGGTTAAGGACATGAAGTAAATGCCAAAGACACAATGGTTTGGCCAAGCAAAATTAGGACACAAGGCCATAAATCAAATATACATTCAAAGAACCGTAATGCAGTAATTTATTAACAATATAGGGATGTTTTTTACCCCAAAAAATTGTTGAGATGAACGAATACTCATCTAAAAGGACCAAGGTAAGGGCCATATGAGCTAACAGCGGGCCAAAATATTTCCAGGTGAAACACTTTAGAAGAAGGCATACTAGCCTTATAAATGGTTAAAATACTTCTATCTAAAGCAGTATCTCACTTGTAGATCCATAATTGAAGGTAGAAAATGTTATCATCAATATATGTCAAGAAGAAATATCAAAAGCATCTTGAATTAAGCTAAATGCAACTTCATTCATACAACAGTAAGACATAAGTCGTGATGTAAAGAAATCTTTTGATTCATAATGCAGCTAACAAAACATAGCAAACACTGTGATCCTATTATGGTATTAGAGGGGAATAAACTACACTAGCACAAGAAATCACATGCATTAGGTAAATTATCAGATGGCAACCTTGAGATCCCGTGAAGTTGCCCAAACTCTCAATAGAAGCTCAAATGCAGAGTTGAGGAAGGACCTGGACCAAACAGTTTATTAGTATCAAAAGCATAATCTTAGAAAAGTCTTGCAGAATTACACAAATTAAAATAATTTGTCTTACACAACATCACCATCTACAGCTGTAAACAGTGGCGACTCGACATTATATTGCCAACAGGCCTGACACCAAGATTTGAATGCTGGAAAAGGACAAAAGGCATCTCATTAAGTATAAAAAAGAAAATTCTGCATAGCATGATTACATTTTTCGCAATGGAATATATATGTGATTTATGACTACCAAAGACCAAGCATAACCAATGCCAACTGGAACAAACAAACTAAAACAGATTTAGACGTGAAACATAAAGAACCATCATTATTTGCTTCTGAATACAAAGATCAAATATTAGGTCCTTGCATCACTCAGATCTGCAAATTATTCATCACGTCAAACATGACCTCAACATGGAAATTTAGTCCTAAACAAATGCAACTACAACCCTATCAATTTTATACCACATAAAAGTTCCACACTGAGTAATACAATCATACAGCCATAAAATCCTCTCTATTTACACAAATCATCTAAGATACAACGTGGATCGTGGTTGGGACAGATGAGCAACCTTATAGTTGGTTCCATCGCAATAATGCATAAACTAGAACAACAGCATAAACCCCATTAGCTACGAATATGCACAGATGCAACCAAAGATAGCATACCATTAGCGAAAATTGGCTTGTGAATATCTTTTACGTTTCCAAGAATGGGCAGAACTCTTGTAAGTACACCTTTGAGTCGTGGAGTGAACTGCAAAGCTTCAAAAAGCACATAAGATTGCATCAATAAACCAATTTCAGAAACAGAACTTAGATATCAAAGACAGGCTATTTTAATATATGTTTAAAAACCAACGATGACACACACCATCGGATGAAGCAAAATCTGCGAGTATTTGAACCATGGCAGGAATAGCTGAATTAGATCCAGAGAGATGAAGAAATATTTCTTCCATCATCTGAAAATAAAAACAGTAAAGTTGATTGATGTTAGTACATACAGTGTGAAGCACAATAACAAAGCCAGAAAAGATAAGAAGTTATGTCATAATTTCACCCCACAATAGTCAGTATTACATTATGAAGATCTTTCTACTGGTAGTTGCTGAAACTATGAGAACTCATATCAAAATTACAGAAAACTCTACGTGGTTTCCTCGAATAAGGAACAGAATATATGATTCAGCTTGCAATCTCAACTGCCAAAACTCACGATTAATGTTATATTGATCACTCTTTATTCCTCAATCAATCAGGTGAAGATAGCAAAACACTTAGGTTCATGGTACTGAGCTGAAATATGACAGTTGCAGCCAAATATTATACAGAACAATATAAACGTAAAACTGCATATTGGCAACACCAAATTGTCTGGTGTAAGCATACAAGAACTTACAAGATCAGGCAGATGTAAACCTAATGCAACTAGTACACCAGATGCAGCTCTTTGCCAATCAGCATTAAGTTCCTACAACAACTCAAAGACGCAAAGTTAATATATCAGTATCAAGTTCCCAACAAGTCAAAAACATCAATCTATATACATACGAGGAGGACTATTGAATTCCTAAAACAAGTCAAACATACATCAGGGAAAAATTGAGTTATAATGGATTAATTTTTAAGAAGCAGATGCTGACTCAAAATCAATGAAACTCTTTGGCGGACAATAAAGTAAGTGGATGCTCAAATCAGTAATTGCGTCATCAATAAGATTCTTACTCCAGCAGGTTAGTAACTTATGAGCTGCTAATCGAACTGTATTTATGGTTGCCAAATAATAACCACCACAATTTCATGCTAATTAAAAGAAATATATGTATTATAACGAAAAGATTAACATAACATGTTGAAATATCTCATGTGTAATCGTGTATGATGCACCATATCATGGTCTCCTGTTATTACCTGGGCATAAGATCGGTACTTTCATAGTATGTTGACTAAAGTTGAACGAGATATTATAACAAGAAGCAAGAAGTCCTTCACTTGGTCCATATAATCTCAATCATTTTACGATTTTGTTTAACCATTTTCTACGACCAAAACTCGAAAAAAAGGTATATACAGCTCTCATGCAGAAGTCAATCTTACGAGAATTTTGGCTACTGTCACTTTATCAAGAATGTATTCTCAAAGTTACTGCCCCATAAGTCATGTCGATAAAGAATTTCTTACTCAACTGCCACTTCGGAATTTATTTACGAGGAATTCTGATTCCTCTCAACTTAAGTGAAATTAAATGCTGCAAAACAACTTTTTTACAGAAATCATAAAACCCAAAGTTACAGCATTAGTGTATCTATATATTAAGGATAGAAGATTATAAGAGAAAAGTCTTCAGTCTTCAAGTCCATGAGAAAGGCATCCTAGGGAGGGCAGATCTTAACATGCGTCTTCTAATATTCTCATGGATAAACATAAAAGATCTCCAATAACATAATCATAGCTGCCAAACTGAAACGTGCTAGATAACTATGAAAGCATCTAAACAGGGAAATCTTTCTCTCCTTGGCACCCCAAAACTGGACCATCGTCACCACCAGTAAGCATTAACAGCAAGAGTCTTATGTTCACATATATCAAGAACTACACCGAGCAAAACTACTAGTGAGGCTTCACATAAACAACATTTGAACGACTATCAAGATAAGATCAATTAAACCTAAAATCATAATTCATGTCTGTTTGACCACATTTCTGAAATATCAGTATAGAAATGAAAACGCAAGAGAGCATATTATGACGTTACTTAAGGGGATTTCATGACTCAACGGTCATATATTGAGCGTTGGTTGTATTACATATTTAACTCACTAAATTTAAAAAAATATATATTCCAAGTGCATACTTCCAGTGTTACAAAGAGTGGGGAGAGTAACACTGCACCTTAGTGGAGATGATCTCAGCCACTGCTATTTTAGCAAGCTTTGCCATGTACTGAGGATCAACATCATCTTTATCCAATGCTCGAATTGCCACAGACATAACTTGAAATAATCCAGCTATGTTCCCAAATTTCTGGGATTCCAATTTCAAAACATCAAATCATTCATCAATCTATCTTATCAACACTTGTCAATACATCACAAGCTTGAACAAGAGTGAGAAACATAGCATTACTCTTCGGCCGCCACGGGAGACAGTGGAGCAGCAATCGAGAACCAAAAGTGGGTTCCTGCAAAAATCTAAAGGATTCAAGACTACTCCTATGATTTCAGAATCATGATACGTTTCAAGTAACATCTAATTAGAGAGTTTCCAAAAGCATTCAATAATTCATTTACTTTACATTTATATTCAAATTACCCAAGCAACAAGCACCACCCGCAAATTACAACAAACAGATGAAATCCCCCAATTCGATGGTTTCTTAAGCTTCAATCACCAAAATATTCACATTCACTGAAACACAGTAGACAAGGAGAAGGAAATTACAGAGCCGCTATATCTTTAAGAGTAACAGCAGAAGCTTCTCTGACCATGGGAGACTCATCCGCAAGAGACGACACAAGAACTTGCACGGCCTCTGGAGAATTCAAGTAAACCGTAAGCAAATAAGACATGATTAGACTCAGACGTTGATCAATGAAATTTGCATAAGACGATTGCAAGTATGCATGAAGGATATAGAATTTGTAGCTCGAGGAATTAGCTGAGCTGGGTGACAAGTTTACCAGGCGCAGGTATGTAATTGCCGGAGCTTGAAGACGCCATCAATGGCGATCGATAGGAAGATGACACAGAGATCCCAGATACAGGAAGAAAGGGAACATAAAAGAAAGGGTGAACAAAATGAAAAGTAAACCGTAACAAGTAAATATATATAGTTGGCAATTACAGTTAACATACGGTAATACGGATTATATTTGACATCAAAAGTTGTGATTATACCCGCAAAAAATCATTATACTTTCACGTATCATAATTTGGAAAAGTGTAAAAACATAAGTTTGTAAAAATTTGTCATTAAAAAATATATTTTCTGTTAATCTTATATAATTGTATGGTCAATGTTCATTTCTCTTATTAATTTTGTCAATCAAAATTGTAATAATAGAATACTGTCAAATTAATGAAGCATTGCAATATAATTTGGTTAACAAAAAGAAATATACAATAATAAGCATGGTATAAGTCCCATTTAACACTTATAGATAAATGATGTCAATTCCACTAATTAATTTTGTCATAACATAGTAATAATCGTATATTGTCTCGTTAACGAAGCATTGCAATGTAATTTGGTTAACAAAAAAGAAATATAAGATAATAAGCATGATACAAGTCCCATTTGACACTTACATATAAATGATAGCTAATCGAATTATTAGTTTTATCTAACTCATTTGATAACTTATTAATCTTTTTGCATGTTTTCATTATTCTTAGTCTTTTAATAGTCTTCACTAGTACAGAGTCCGTGCCATGTACGGGGTGCACAATTTTAACTATTTATCTAGGCTTATAATTATATACATGAATAAAGAAAAATGTACGGGATATATATAGTACGTGACTCACGAGATATATTTATTTAGAGAATATTATATTACAAGATGCAATATTCAATAAAAGTTTATAATACGCAAGAAAATTGTACAATGTTCAATAAAAGTTTTATAATATTCAAGTGGAATCTTAAAGCCTCTTGTACATTAAAACTACTGACAAAATAATATTTTAATCAATGAGTTTCCTTTCCTTGTAGCCAAATTGTGAATGTGATTTGAGGAGTACAACAAATCGATATATAGCTGACTTGCTTTTTTCATTGTAGTTTTTTTTCTTTTCTTTTTTTATAATGAATTTAAACATATTCGAAAATATAGCAAAAATTAATTTTTTTTTATTACAATTAGAAATTTTACTAAATATAAACTCTCAATCTATGGTGTTAATCAACATTTAAGTCTAAAAAATTAGGAATTTTTACCTCTTTTAATCAACGTTTAAGTCTAAAAAATAATAGAGTTATTATAAGTTTTTTTTCTACATCTTTTAAAATATTAAATATGAGCATGTTAGGGCTAGCTTGTAAAATAATTAATATATTATCTCACTAAAACATTTATACTAATAAAAAATTAATTTTAGCATATAAATTTATCTCTTGATATAAGCAAAAGTAACAGTTTTACTTATTGTTGTTCACCATATAATATTTAATTATTATTTTATTATATAATAAAAAAAATATTATTAAATAGTGTAGTAGAATTGTTATAAAATTATATTATTTTTTCATTACAATATGGATTTAATATTTTTTTATGATTTGATAATATAAACAAATCTATACTTAACTTTGACAAATAAAACAAATAAATACTTTAGTAAGTATTTAATGTATATACTAAATAGGAATATATTTGGTATAATCAAATACCAAATATAATCAAATAAGTCAAAGTGTACATTTTTATTTGGTATTTGATTTTTTTATTACTAAAATCTTTTTATTATACTTACCTTTTTAAAATAAAACAAATAAATAAATCAATTAAATAAATAAAATATTTTAATACCAAAATAGTTATGGCATTTAATGCAGTTGACTTTATTGGATAGTAAATGTAGTAAATAGAATCTCCTTTTATATAAGTATAGATTGTATAATACGGAAATAGTAATGCAATAAATGTTGTTGACTTTTCTTTATACTAAATCTGGTAAATGGTATACCTTTTAATACTATAAGTATAGATTCGAGTTTATTTGAGCTTAACAGTACAATACCCGTGTGTTACACGGGTGATTGTTAAAAAAATTATTCTTAAATTTTAAAATTAATGAGGAAAAATGTTTTTAAAATTTAAATACTTTTTACAAAAAATATATTATTATATATTTTCGAGTAATACTTGTTACTTGCGCGACTTACTTGTATTATATTATAATAATTACTCTAGCTTATACCATATAACAACTTTATAAATTTATTAACTGATACATATTATATTTTTTAATTAATATTAATAAATATTTTTTATTATAAAGATAATATAATTTATTTATTTTATACATAATATGGAACTCAAATCGAAGCTCGTTATGGATAATTAATTTGATATATTATATGTGCAATACTGATAAAAAGTACAAAATTTATAACTTTCAAAATACATTTACAATTCAATGGCTATAATATAAAATAATATTAAAATGCAATGGGTTTATTGCTATTTAAACTTTTACCTTTCAGCTTTTGACAATTTAATCCAAACCTTTGGATAATTGCAATATAATCTTGACTTTGACTTCCTTTTGCAAAACGAACTTAATTTTCGTTGTAGGTTCAAAAAATGCTAGCGTATCCGATAGATTATATCCACGTTGGACAATCAATTTGTTGAGTGGTGAATTTTAATGACTGAAAACTTATGTGGAGATGACAGGGCTCATATGTGGAGTTAACAAGATAGGGAAAAAAAAGAGAGGAAATTGCACACGTTACAAGACATATTGTCTTTTATTGCAAAATTACCAAATTTATAAAATTAATTACAAAATTACCAGATTTATAAAAAATGAATTTTTTTAAATATGCAATTAATATTCAACTTAATTAAAGGTAGACTTATCACCTTCCAAACCAACATTCCACGACACTTTCTCTCTCTCTCCCCCCTATCTCTTCATCTCCTTCTTCTCTCTCCCTCTCTCTTTTTTTTTCCTGATCGCTGCGTTTTTTATGTGGGCAAGAAGAATCGAAACAGGTTGGTGGTTAATTTTTATTTTCTCTTGAAAGAAAAGGAGCAGTGCGTGAACATAGACAAAAAGAGAGCAGCCATTTATTTGTTTTGTGCAAGCATAGCGTGAACTAAAAACGATGAGGGTAGAAAGGCAGCAACGTGGCCGCCCGAGGAGTTTGTCCAAGGCGCCTTGAGGAGACGAAGGACGATCGGAGAATTTTGTTGTTAGGTTTTAGTTGAGAGGAGGACCAGACCAGATGGTATATATGTTGTATATATGTAATATATTTATACTTTTTTTGTTGTTTGTGTAGTTGCATATATATACTGTATATTTTTCGTATATATATTGTTTATATTTTTTTGTATGCACACTATTAGAGTGTGTATAGTTTGAATTTTTTGTACAAAAAATTTGAATTGAAAATCATAAGGATCATTGTTTATATTCTGTATATTTTCTGTATATGTTGTGTTCTCCACCATCTCGTTGCTAGCTTATAAAATGATCCTAGGTATATATATGTTGTATATTTTTCGTATATATACTGTTTATATTCTGTATATTTGCTGCTCGTGATGGGACGACGTTGCTCGTGATGGACGACACTTCTCGTGATTGTTTAATTCAGATTTTTCTTTTTTTTTTAATTAATGAAAGAATCCCGTCAGTTACGGGATTCTTGAGATGGTAACTCCTAATTTTTTGTTTGGCAGTTATATTGTAGTTATCCAAATAATTATGTTAACTTAGGCATACTTGCAAATAAGTTTTTATTTTTGTATTTATGCAATTATTTTAAAATCCTTAATATAGAAGTGCAAATTACCCAAAAAAAAAAAATATATACCTCAATTAAAATTTTGAAAATGTACCGTAGATTAGTGCATGGCCCAAATTTTGAAAATCTACCTCAATTAAAACATAGGTGATAGAGCGTGGCTCATGCTCATGCTCATGCCTTACAAATTCAATGGGCAAGTTTTCCTGACCCTAAACCTACACTCTACCCATTAGTGTATGGCCCAAAGTTTGCATGTTACAAATGAATAATAATTGTATCCATACAAAAGCGAGTTAAATAATGTCATTTTTATAAAGTATGTATACGTTTGATGTATGAAATGTAACAACGATAATGAAACGTAATTAAAGCGTGAAAGATGTAGACTTTGTATTATTTCTGAGTAATTGCAGAGTACAGTAAGTCGACATGTATGTAAACCGACCTATGTTTGCATGTGAGTATTAAATACGCGTAAAAGATACTCGTACAATAATAAATTATGTTATTTATAGTTGTGTGTGTTTGACTTCTGGTACGAGGTAGATATGATCGCATTTAATGCAGAACAACTTTTTGAGGCGGTCTATTCATCAATGGGGGGACAGTAATGATTGCAAATATAGCACGTGGCCCAATTATGTGGATGTCTTGTCACCTCTTTCAGGTTTCGGTTATCTCGGACGTCGATTTTATGGGAAGAACATTCGAGAAGGAATCTTCGAGAAGCCGGTTGCCAAAGGTCTTTGAGAGGTCAGTTGTTGTCTGTGTATGCAAAGTCGGTTAGCAGCTACATGTGAAGTCGGTTCGCGCCTATGTACAAAGTCGGTTTGAATCCCAGCTTGTACCGAGTTGAATTAAGTTAGGCGTGTGAAGTGATTTGAGCAATAAGCCTTAGACAATACTTGTAAATCTTCGTCTTAATCCTAACAAATCAGTTGTCAATAGTATATCTATCTATATATAATAAGGTTGTTGGTAAAATACATTTTTAGAAACTTTTGACTAAAAAAAAAAAACGTTGACATTCTATTTTTAGAATTCATATTCAAATCTCAAAAGATTCAAAAGTCACGTTAATTCAAAAGTGATAAAACTCATATTCAAATTCAAATCTATCTAATACATGAAAATCTATCAAAACTCACGTGAATTGATAAGTAAATTAGTTAGAGATTATTGGGATAAATATCATGAGTTGATAAGTCATTTAAAGAGATAAGTATGTATCACAATTCCATAATTATCATTATATAATTACACAACAAATGAATTAACGTCATTCACACATAAAAGAAAAATCTT